AAGGGTGCTTTAGGGCATCAAATGTCATTTAACTTGAAGGGAGGTACCATTGATTAGAAATGATGGCTGTCCAAGTCAATTTGGTGATAAAATTAGGAGAAATTACCCTTTACTGGTAATTTGACAAAATTATTATATATATACGAAAAAAATTATTTAGGGCCAAGTAAGGGCTTTCCTTTCTGCCCTCCCTCTACAAACTTTTTTTTTGTTTTTTGATTGGCAAAGAAAAACTTTATTAATAAATTCAAATGAAACAAAGCTTACAAGAAAATATTAACAAATAGAGGATAAGAGCAACATTATTTTTTATTTTTATTTTTTTTGTGATAAGCAAAGAAAACTTTATTGATGAAATGTAGCATACAAAGTATGAGGATACATCAATAAAGGGAAGTTACAGAGCTAACAACAGCACATAGATTGATGAAATGTAGCAACTTGATCCCACTCAGTGAACAGCAGCAAAGGACCCAACAGTTGGCAAGAAACACCCCAACACCCCAACAGTTGGCAAGAAACCAACCACGTGAAAGACCAAAAGTCAAAGAAACAATAACAGAAATAACATAGCAAACCTGATCTGGTGGAGGTTGGATACAATGTCGTGCACTGAATAATCTACTTTCAAGAGCCATTTTGGACCACAAAGCTATCTGCACTTTAATCTTTTCGCATAAAACTTGAATATCAGGATGACCTCCCTTAAACAAACATTCATTCCACAACTTCCATACGGACCAAAAACGACAGAAGGGATAATGTATTTACAGTGTTGCTCAATCAAATGCCATTATTATATGATTTATTCAATAAAACTTCGTTAGAATGTATGATTTGTTTATAAGTATAGAATAATTTAATATTTTTATAATGGTATTATTTTCACGTTTTTACATTTTATTTTTACATTTTATTTTTATTTTGGTTTGTTTGTTCATTGAAGATGCACTCAAAGAACAAAAGGTTATTCATTTACTTTTAATGAAAAACTCTATTCATAGAAAAGAGTATTACAAATATGTAAAATTAATTTGGAATGTAGTTTAGGGTTAAAATTTGGAATAGCTTTAGTAATGAGTTTTGTAGAAATTGATACTTACGTATTAATACTTAGAATTTGATCTAGAGTAAATTCTTCACATTACAATTTGAATCATATATATATATATATATGAATAAAATTATGAGTACATTTTTTGAACATTGAAAATTAGCCCACAAAGTATGTAATTAAGGCCTCATGTGCCTAAGGTATTTAAAGTAATTTTTTTAGTTTTTATAGTTTTTTTAGTTATAAAAACCATTTTTTCATTTTTCAAATATCAACAAGTCAAAAAAAAGAAAGAAAAAAAAAACTTATTTAATAAAACAAGCTAAAAGTGAAAATTTTAAAAATTGTCACAGTTTAGTCCCCACCCCAAAAAGAAAATCTTATTCCTTTTACTCCTTGACTTAATTCGTCATGTTGATTTTTTTTTTTCAAAATCTATGTTTTAAAAATAAAAAATAAAAATTGGGTTACTCGAAATTAAAATTACAAATAAAATTTCATTCAGTTTCTTTCTTTAAATAAAAAAAAATCATTAAAAAAGTCTTCCTATATGAAGTTTTAAAAAAAAGTTAAGAAAACTAAGAAAATTACCAAACAATATGACTTATTTACCCATTACAAAACTAAAAAAAATGCAATATGCTATAACTTTAAAAAAATAATAAAATAAAATGAGATTATCCAATCCTTTTAATATATAAAGTATTGTAAATGATTTTTTTTTTTTTAATTTTAACAAAGACTGTTTTTAGAGTTTAAGTCTCAAACTACAAAACTTTTTTTTTTAAATTTTCATAATAGAAATCCTTATCAATAAATTTAAAAAGAAATGTCTTATATTTTTATTTTGTTCCTTATAAAGTTCTTAAGTTCTATTAATTTTCAAAATGTCATTTAATTGTGCTCTTTTAATTAATATTTTTAATTTTCAAATGGAATGAACACATTTTATACAGTTATTTGTAATTTTTTATTTTATTTTAGTAAATTGCACAGAGTATTTATACATTTCAAAGGAAAAATACTGAATGTATGGGTTGGGAGAGAGAAAATTAATAAACTAAATTGTTTATTATTATGTTTTCAAAAAAAATTAAAAACACATATTGATTAACGATTAAATTTGTTTGGGTGGAGAGAGGAAGTCATTAATACACAACTCATAAATTTGTATTTAATTTTTTATTTATGAGCAGTAAAATATTAAAAAAAAAAGAAGATAAAATGTAAATAATATTTATCTTATTGAAAAAATAATATATTATTTTATCTCGTGTATGGCACAGGTCATAGATTAGTTATAATTGATTAGGGTGTACCATAAGAAAAATATATAAATTTTATTTAGTACTTAATATGTGTTGTTCTTATTAGTAAATTCACATTAAGATATAATAAGAATTAAAATTTTAAAAGTTGAGTTAGGTGTATTGTGATAATTTTTGGATTCGAGTATAATGACCCTTTTCATTAATGTTGTGTTTGGTTGAGGAATTTGGGAATGGATTTGGAAAGGAAAAGGAAAAGGAAAAAGATAGGCAAAATATGAATGAAATATACTTATATTTCACCTATTTTCGCACATCTTTTTTCTTTCCCTTTCCATTTCTAAATCATTTCTCAAATCACTCAACCAAACACAGTATAAAAGAAACTCATTCCTAAACTCCATTAGTGGCCCAAATATTTTTGAGGCCTTAGGCCCAATATCAAAATAAAGTTTATTGTTCTAGGCTTTTAGATGATTAGAGTTTATGGTGGAAAAAAAAAATTGAAATTATTTGATGAATCCCAAGCAATGAATTAAGTGGACTAAAAATTAGGTCGACTTTGCTAAACTGCTATCCATCAGTCTTGTGGGGACTTTTTCCACAGTTGGAGAAAATTCTCAATGGTCTATCCAACATAAACAATAATGTTATGGGCGTAAAAAGTGTACAACAAAATTAAGGTGTGATCAAAATTTGAACCACATTCTAATTTTTTATTTTGTATATACTTCTATGATTTTTTTTATTTTTTATTTTTTGCACATATTATATGGCGACATAATAGGTTGCACAAATGGCCATTTAGGGTGAGAAACATTGCCTAACACAAGTCCAAGGCTAAAGGTACAATTACAAAACAACAAAAATCAGAAGTGTTTGGATGTTGAAATCAAAAGTGGTTTTTCATCAAGAGTTTCTTTTAAATTTTTGTAATTTATAGTAATTGCTTGTTTATGGGCTTGACTCACACCTAGGGCAAACTTCATGGTACAAGCCTAGCACTGATTGAAAGACACTAATTTAGTTTATGGATGGACCTTGTCGAATCTTTTTTCTTCTCACAATTTTGTAAATAATATGGTCCATGATAATTTTGTCAAGGCTCCCATAATTATCACAAATTCCAATTTAACAATCGGGAAAATAATGTTAACATGAGAAAGGGGGATTCTATTTACCCCAAAAAAAATCATTAAATACTCCCAATTTCTAAGTACACCTTACTTAATTATTTAAAATTTTATTTTACTCTCATTACACCCTATTATTTTTCCCAAATTACCCTCAAGGTAAACCCAAATAATAAATAATAAACAAACTAAAAAGACTAAATTATTTAAAAAACTTTTCAATACAGAAAATAATTCTCAAATACAGAAAAAAAACAAAAAAAAAAAACAAACTTATAAGCATATAAGCATTATAAATACAGAAATTGTGAAACCCCTTTATGTTTTCCAATAACTTCATAGTGCATTCATGATGATCTAATCAAAATTATCAATTCATAAAATATCTTAATTTGTTAATATTTGGACTGAACAATATTGCAAAACTTTAGTCAAACAAAAGCATGGAGAGTTAGCCAGTTGTTAGGTCATATCCATTCATGCCTTCATTTACTTCACTTCAGTTTCTTTCTCAAAGAAACAAAACTTTAGTCAAACAAAAGCTCCACAAGGTTGAAAGCCGTTGAGAAAGTGAAGGAAAAAGCACGAGAAAACCAAGGAAAAAGAAAAGAAAACGCTAAATGAAAGAGTGATTACAATTGATGAACAGAGAAAACTAGCACACTCATATATATTTAAAATATATAGTGTATATATATATAACCCACTAAATATTATATATATTTATTCAAAGCATTAAAGTGTTAGTGTTCACACCTTAGAACATAACGAGTTTAATTTAAGAATTCTTGAAGTCTGTCATTTCTAATAAAAAGTATCCCTGCAAAAAATTTGCCACAAGCCACCTAAATTCAGTTTCTACAGTACACTTCTCTTGCATATAGTCTTTAAACCAGCATAACCTGGATCCAAAAAAGAAAAAATCTTAATATAAAATTAACAACACTAGGTGTGTAAAAAAAAAATTGATAATAAAATGAGTAGACCAAATTTGTTTGGATGTGATTCACTTCACATGAAGTTCGCATTTCATGATTTTTCTCAAGTTCGGATATTGTGGGCCCATCTCAAGTCTATTTTTGCATTGACCATCTCAAGTTTATTTTTGCATCGTTCAATTTTTAATTCATTTTAAGTAGATCATTCAAGAAAAAAAATCAACGTGAACTTATAGTTGCAAAAAAGAAATTTTATACCACTAAAACTAAATGTATTGGCTATCAACTCATACATATAAAAAATCGACAATGCGTATGTAATTTTTTTTCCAATAAAATACATATCAATCAATACTTAAACCATACTTCATTTTCAAAGTGGCTTTTGGTACATACCTTATCGATAGAATTAAAGAAAAGGAAAAAGGAACTAGAGAGGAGAACTTACTCAGATCACGAAGATAGCATTGTTAGAATGATTATTTTGAGCTGTTTTTGCCTCAATTGAAGCCTCGGAATTGTTGTTATCATTCAGAGGCTGGTCATTTTTGGTACCGAAGAAATTTATCATGAAGTTCAGTTCATCATCAAATGCTTTGTTCAAAAACTATGGAGAGTCATCAATAGAGGAATCAGATAAGTCCCCGAGAGGAGCAAAATGGGTTGAGAAGTCTTCAGTGACAGTGGAGCCAGTGGTGGTGGCGGCCCTATTAGATGGATTCATGCTTTTGATGTAGTCTTGGAGTATGGAGGGTTGAGATTGACACTTCAAATTCTGGCTGCCTTGTGGTTTCTTGATGTTATTCCTTTTTGAATTTTGCTTTCTTTTGGTGGCGTTCCAGTGATTCTTTATTGAATTTTCGGTCCTTCCCGGTATTCTCTTGGCAATTTCTGCCCATCTGTTGCCAACTTTCTTATGAGCTTCAACCAATATGCTCTCTTCTTCTTCAGTCCAAGTATCTTTCTGATAAAAAAAAAAAACAAGGGCGCCACATTGTGTATTATAAACAATGCAATATACATAGGGGAAAATTAAAAATAAAATAAAATAACAAAAAAAGGTACCAAACTCTAATAAGAATTTCAATAATGCCATGTGCACTGTAGACAAAAATTCATAGAAACGTATATAGAAAAATCAATATTACACTTTGCTGTAAAGAAAAGTGATATTTTTATAAAATTTTTGTACAAAATTCTTGATTAGAATAATATGGTAGTGGCATTTTAAAAAGTATAAGTCAAGTTGATGAATTTTTTGTTTTAAAATGATAAAATTAAAATTTATCACATCATTTTATATTTATTTATTTTTATTTATTTTGCTGTGTAGCACTATAAGAACTTATCTATGAAAACATTAAATGTGAACCTTTTTATAACAAAATTGATGCTTTGAGGAAGAAAAGGTTCCAAAATCACATGAACGTGAACACTGAGAAATAGTGGGTGCAAGGAGGAATTTGAGAGGGTATAAACAGACAATGGACTGACCCTATGAGTTTTGCATGTCAAAGTGCTCATATGAAAGACAATCCCCAGGCCCTTGTCTCACGAGGAATTATATTAGTTGCCAAGTAAACATATAATGTGGCTTTGTATATTTAAATAACAACAATATTACGAACTCAAAAAAAAAAAGTTAATGGTTGAAATTTATTTTACTCATGTATTCACATATCATCAATTTAATCTCCACCACATATATACATTTGCAATAAATTATGATTTGATAAGGATGGGTTCATAGCATTTTTATTTAAATAATCATAAAATTCTAAACATGAACCAACATGTCTAGACGGTTAGATGGAAGAAGAAATGTCACTAACTTTTGCGGATTAACATTAAAAATAAAATAAAAAATGAAAGGGGAGATGTCAGATGATGTGAACAGCACCAAACTCACCATAAGATCTGCATGTCAAGCCCATGACTTGTAAAACAAAACCCTAATCCACTTTTTGAATGAAACTTTTCACTAATTACCAAATATAAAATATCAAAAGAAAACTCATGAGAGATGAACGGACAAATCACCTTGATGAAATTTTGGCAATCTAAATCCTATATCTCTAACTTTTAAGATATAAAATTAAATAATTAAAAAAGGAAAAAGAGTTGAGAATAGGAAATTAAACCAGATAAGGCATCCTAGGGTTTTCTCTTTTGACTATTTGAAAAATATCACACAAACCCAAACCAAATCTCAGTTCTTAGGTATTTTGTCATAGATTTTTATGAGAAATCTAACACAATTGTTTGATGATTAGTTTTGCAAAAAGTAAAACAAATTTTAACAAAAACCAAACCACACTCAGTGGTTCTGACAAAACCTCAAATTAGGAAAAGGGTGAGGAAAAAAGACCTTGATATCAGGGCGCAAATGATTGTGCCACCGCTCCCGGCATTGTTTTCCGGCCCTACCAACCATATTCTCTGCTATCTGAGCCCATTTTCTCACTCCATGCCGCGTCACTAAATTGAGCAGTTTCCTTCACAAAAACAAAATCATAGAAATCTTCAATATCAACTGCACTTGCATGTAAAGAGTAGACATATGTGGGTTTAGTATAAGTAATACGGTCATATATGGGCTGATATTGGACAATATCGATTGATATATCATTATCAGAAGATAGATATTTAAAACCCTAGGATGTATGAGACTTAAAGAAGGGTAAAAATTAAAAATTATGTGTTATATCACCTATCTTCTTCATCTGTCCATTGTCCTTTGATCAGAGTAGTTGTAGAAGTGCCACCTTTTGCTCTCTTTGCCACTCTTTTACAATTCCTTTCTTTTGATTTGGCATCTTCACTCAAACCCATATTAGGATCTATCTCATATGTCCATTTAAGAGTCTCACTATCATGGAAAAGCCCATCTATGAAGCTTTTCTTTGGAAAACTTGGCCCCAAAAAGTTGCTTGAGTAGCCACCAATTGCACCACAAGAAGAAGAAAAACCACCATACACGCTTATCGGAACGAGCAGTCCTGGGTTGTGCACATTGTTTTGAGTCTGTTGGTGAGAGAAATGGTTGTTCTTGCTTGACAAGAACCTCTCTATGGCTGTTAATGGAGGACTAGGTCTATATAAAGAAGGGTTGTTTTGTAAATTCACATACCCAAAACCACCACCACCACCACCACCACCTTCCATGAGAGAGAGGCTTGAAGGAGACTAAAAACAAGAAAAGAAAGAACTGTTTTCAAGCAACAAGATTGCTTCCAAAATTGCTTTGATTTAGAGAAGGTGTTTTTTTGTGTTTTTTCTTCTCTCTACTTGTAAAGACACAAGAGCTGGGCAAAGAGAGATTATAGTAAAAAGCCTTGTTTGGAGCTACTACAAGGGTTGGAAACCATTGATTTGAGGGTTCATCCAACGGCTGAGATTCAGAGGTGATTGTAACTCCTCAGCTTCTCTTCTCAGTCAAAAGTAGAAAAATAGTAGTGGAGAGATTAGTGGGTTGGTCATTAACCCTCAGTAATAAATCATTTTTGCTAAATTAAGATTACACTATTATTTTTGAATATATAGAAAGTTTGTGTCTTGTTACAATTAGGGAAAATTTGAATCCAATGTAAAAAAAAATTTAAAAAAAAATTACAAATAATTGGTAAATTTTATACATATTAATAATTATAATTTTAATTTTAATTTTTTTCATGATTCTGTAATAATTTTTTAATAGTACCATTTATAATTATTCACTGCCATTGTTTGGCCACCCCTCAAGGAAATTACTTTTTTACCCACTACGACATATAAGAGTTTTGGAGATCAAATGTTTTGATTTCTAAAAGTAAAATTTTGTTACAAATGACATTTAGGGATTAATTTCTATCATCATGAAGATAGTCGCTAAAAGGTCGTTTTGAAAAGTCAAAAATAAGGCTTTTAGTAACAAAATTTTGAAAATGTCACTAATAAATAGATTTTTTGGTACAAATAATTTGGTCTCAAATAGATAATAATTTATTACTAATGTCCAATTTTCATTATTAAAAATATAATGACGATATTTTTCATAATAAAAATATTTAATTCTTAAAATATAATTTTATCCTTAAATTTTAATCTTCAAAACTTTAATTTTTTGTAATGATCGTTGTATTAACAAACTATTGTGCATCAAAGAAAGGGTGCTTTAGGGCACTAAATGCCATTCAACTTGAAGGGAGGTACTATTGATTAGAAATGATGGCTGCCCAAGTCAATTTGACAGTGGTAGAGTTAATTACCCCTTTTGTAATAAGCCAGATTTCTGCCCACATTCTTGTTTCAGTGAACACCTTCATTTACAGACTTTGTCTTAAAAAATTCTTTGGCTTTCAACCTACACCTGCAATCTGCATTAAGGCTTAGTTTGGAAAGACTAAATAAGTGTATTTTTTGATTTTTTATAAAATATGGGTTGGGTTTGGGTTGGGTTTGAAGTGATGTGTTAGAGAGGTGATGTGACTTAAATAAGATGATGTGACTTAAATAGAATAGTGACTTTTTAACTTTTTGTCTTTTTTCAATCATGCCAAACTTGGCCTAAATGTAGTAATGATCCGAACTTCCATTTTTATTTCATTTTAGAACCCTTTCTTAGTCTCCACCGATTGAATATCCTTATCCAGCTCTTTGCCCCGATCCATCATTAGGTAGCATCTTTTTAGAGCTAGCTGAAGGTCAACGTTATACTTGAGTGGCCCTTTTTTCTATTCCACTTCCCTGGGGAATAACTCTAATTAATCTCGGTAATGTCAATTGACTTTTTGATCTTAAATTTATAATTTTATTTTAATTTGGTCTAATTAATTACAATTTTAATATTTTTTTCTGAAAAATATGTATATAAGTAGCATGTGCTATATTTTTTACAGTAAAACTATAAATTTATTAAATTCAGTGAGTTAACCTCAACTAATCAATAATTGTTTTCTATCAAAAAAATTAACGGCATTATTAATTGGACCAAATTAATACAAAATTTAAAATTAATAGTCGAAATTAAGTCAATTAAAAGTGGAGAGACCAAAATGACACAAAGAGCAAAATGCCTGAACAACCGACGTAATTTGCCCTAATTATTAATATTGATAAAATTTATCACTAATTTATAATTATTTTTCAAGTTTTATCTTAATCTAAAATTCTCCCATAAAATTATAACTAAGAGCGACGGAATAGGAGAGAACTTATTATGGTCATGCAATTAATTGCTTGGATGACTGCTTATGCTTTACTTGTGGAGGTAACACTCTCTTTCATCGTTGATTTAGAATTTGTTTGAAAATTTGACTATTTTATTTAATATTTTTGACTATTTTAACCTGTCTAAAAAAATTGAGTTTGAGATAATTTTTAGTTTTTTAGATTTTTTTTTGTAATTTATTTGATGATTGTAAGAAGAAAAAAAAAATGAAATAATCATGGTTTGAATATAATATTTTGTTTTATTAGTTACTTTAACTTTTTTGTCTTTATTAACTATTTTAACCAAAAACTTGTGTCCCAAACACTCCCTCAATTTGAATTCTAATGTCCACCTCAAAATAATTCTCATATTAGTACTAATAGGGGTGTTAAAAAAATTGGTGAAACAGGTAAACTGATCCAGTCTAGTCCAAATTATCGATTTAGTATAGTTTTTATTGATTTTGATTCTAGTTCTAGTTTTGAAAATGATGGAATTATTCAAATCAATTTGATTCTCGATTCGAAAGCTTTGGTTGTGGCTCCAAACTGAATTGTGATATATTTATTTTTTTCACAATAACTTTCTGTTGTCTTATTTTGCTGTGTTTTTAAATTAGTATTAAAATCTAATTTCCTAGTCTTGTAATAAAATTATGAGTATTAAATATACTAAACAAATATAATCAAATAATTTAAATAATAGCATTTGCTACAAATAATAATAAAACAAAAAATACATTAATTAGATTATTGTAAAAACTTAATGAAAAACATAAATACAGTTAATTGAAAATTAATATATAACGAAATTGGCATACAACAGTAGATAAATACAAGCCAGTAACTATTACATAATATAAGTAAAAACATTCTACACTCTTATAAAAGAACTGCACCGGAAAAAGTACCACCTATTTTTTAAAAAAAAAACGCAATAAAAAATTATGACCTTCGTTTGGGAATAAGGCCCTTTTTTGGGAATAAGAATTTTGAGTCAAAAAGTCAAAAAAATATTACAAATTATCAAATCATTATTTCTATTCTCTCTTTTTTTTTCTTTTTTTTTTTTGTGTGCACATTATTCGATTAAAAGTTAAAAATAACTAAGAAATTAATTTCCAATCGAGCCTTAATTGGATAATTTGATAATACTTGAAGTAGAAAGCGTAATCAACCCTAAATAATTCAATAAACTCATTAAAAATCTAGGTTTGTTTGGAAATTGTTTTTTTTTTTCAAATAAATTTTCAACTTTTTGCAAAATACATGTATAGAGTTAATTTTTATAGTGAAATTTTTTTATTATTTTGACTAAACGCCTTAAGAGCATCTCCGGCGTTTAAATTTTTTTTTCATCAAATTTGAATAAAATTTTAAGTAAAAACTTCATATGATATCACTCATTTTAACAATTTTTTTTTAATTTTTATCAAAACACTAGTCGACCGAGAGGATGTCTGGCCGATCGACTGGTTCGGTGTAAATTGACCACAACCTACAGAATAATTTTGCAAGGAAGAGGTTATGTCCAGGAGGACATCCGACCCAACGATCACCTACAAATTTGATGGAACACTCTAAGCATCCTTAATTTGATAAAAATTTTAAGACATCATTAATTTGATATTATAATTGGAGCACCAATTTTATTTTATTTTATTTTTCCATCAACAAATTTAAATTTGATGAAAGAAAAATGTAAGTGTAGAAGCTCTAACCGAACTTGACTAAGCACTCGTTTGGCATACACAATTTTGGGGGGTAAAAGACTATTTTAATCACAAAAGATAAAATAAGTTAAAAAGTTAATAAAATAAAATGTCATATCCAAATTATAATTATTTAATTTTCTTCTCACAAAAGTCAAAAAAATTAAAAAAATCTATCACAAACGAAATCTTTTAACTTAAATTAAAATAGTCAAAAAAAAAATAAAAAGTCAAAAAATCAATCAACGACCCAACTGAACCCTAAGGCCCTATTTGTTTTGGTGTGTAATGGATGAGAGGGCATTAGGATGGATGTGTGGTTATTTAGTGTTGTGTTTGTTTGTAGTTGGGGAAGGGATTAAGATGGACGAAGGGATTAAGATGGAGGTTGGAAGGGGGATTGAGATGAGGGAGATGAAGGTAGTATTAGAAAAATAGTGACGGGATTATTTTTATTTTTTATTTTTTACATATTGGAATTTTTTTTAAACATTAATGTTTAATTTTTTATATTTTTTATTATTTTATATAAAAATAATTTAATAATTTCTACACTAACAATTATTATCAAAATAAATAAAATTTTATTTAATTCCCTAACTGTCAATTCCCTCACTACTAATTCTCTCATTATGAATCTCTTCCACTCTTAAAACAAACGGAGCTAAACGAGTTCAAATCTATTTACACTACACATTGGCGGGAAGCACACTTGATAAGGTTACATTTTTCCCGCTAAAAACAACTCTCTCTGTCTCTCCCTCTCTCGACATTTGCCTCATTTTTCTTTTGTTTTTGGTACCAAACCAACACATTTTAACATCTTTGTTCTCTCTCTGAGTTGTCACAGATTCTCAGATTTGTAAGAGTTTGACCTCTTCGATCTCTCAATCATGCCGAGCATCATCAGCAATGATCTCAACGATACCAAATCCATCAAGATCAGCGACATCAGATCCAATGGCGACTCCACTCTTCGGAAGCGAAGATTTAGATCCGATTCGGCTGCAGAAGACGGAACAAAGTCTAAATCTCCTCGTCGATGCATCAATGGCGGCCTCAACTGCACTAAAAATGTGAGTCTGAAAGTACTTCGATTTGCATCTGTTGATATTCTGCCATTGATGGTGATAGTGTTGGAGCTTCTTACATTTTTATGTTTTTTTTTTTCTCTCCAGGGAATCATTGAAAAAGAATCTGGTGGTAATAAGGTTGTCAAATCTCGCGAATTGCTGGTGAAAAATTGTCTGATGATTTTGTTGA